CGCCTTGAGACCCTCCTGGTAGTTGGGCCCACCGCGGCGCACGAAGATCTTGACGCAGTGAGTGATGAGCGAGTTCTTGAACTCCTTCAGGGCGCGGATGATGCCCTTGAAGGTGGCCGCGACGTTGGTGAAGTTGGCAATGCCACCGCCAATGATTAAAACCTTGCCCTGAGCGTTTACCTTGCCGCGGGTCATGAGATCGACTGTAAACGCAAAAGTCGTTTCAGCACAACTGCACAAGTCAAGCAGCACCAAGGGAAGCAAGACTCACGGATCGTTTTGGCATACTCGTAGGTTTGACCCTCGCTCGGTGCGCCGGAGTACTCGCCGTAGTTGGCGAGCTCGTTTGCGAAGCCATGGGCGGCAATAGCGTCGGAGTAAACGACGGAAGCGCCACCACCGGCAACCATGGTCCAAACGCGGCCTTCGGCGTTAAGAACAGTAAGCTTCAGCGAAGAACCGGTCGAGCCGTCGAGCTTCTGGATGTACGCCTCCTCCTTTGTGAGATCGCGGCCGAAGGGTGCGGGCCAAACCATGGGAGGGCCGCGGTCGGCACCTACGACACTCGTAGCCGTGCCAGTGCTCGTGTCCCGCGCAATCGCCCACTTAGGGCCGCAAATAAAGTCGGCAGTCTGGTCGAGCTTGGCGGCCATGTCGAGATAGTGAATGGTGGGAGCAGCGCCATTAACGCCGTCGAGGCAGATCAGGGGGTTGATTTCGAGGTAGGCAAAGTGGAGGTCCGCGTAGACCGAGTAGAGGCGGATGAGGAAGTCAACAAGGGTGTCCTGCTTGGCCGCCGGAACATGGCAGAGCAGGGTCTTCTTGATGACATCGCGGGAGGGGAAGGGTGCGAGCGCAGGGAGGTGCAGCTTGAGAGCCTTGGCATCGACATCGCCGACATCGACACCACCCTCGTGAGTGAAGAGAATGTTGTCGCCCTCACGCTCCGAGTTGATGCAGACGTAGAACTCGGTGTCAGCAGGGTGAGGCAAGAACGGCTCGACAATAAAGTTGTTGAGTGTGCCGGTGGTTTGTTCGACCTGAGAGGCGGGATGAGTGCTTGTGAGCCATACCCACGGCGCATACACGCTCACCTTGACCGGTTTACCCGCACGCTCGGCAATCCAGGCACGAGCCTCGGACCAGGACTTGTTGAGGGCGAGAAGACCAGCCTTACCACGGCGTTTAATGAGCTGGTCGGGCTTTGCGACGAGCTTTTCGGTCAAGACCCAGGGCGGCAGCTGTGTATCGGGCGTGATCGCGCCAGTCGCGGGGTCCCACGAGATCTGAGCGACCTTGGGGGCTGGGTAAACGAACGAGGGCGATACGGTTGCGTCCTTGGCCACGGCCGGTGCGCGCTCCAGCCAATAGGACAGGAGCAGCTTCGCGTCGTACTCGCGGATGGCTGTATACTACTGTGTGAGCGGGTCCAGTGCACTATCGGAGGCGACAGCAACGCACCTTTGGAGGACATTTTTGAGCGAGCGAAGGTCAAGGATGTAATTGAAATTTGCGACCCGTGGAGCGGCTTTTGAAGGAGGCCATATCGGACGATGGGGAACGTGAGATCGCCCCAACACGTTTCGATGTCCGATTTGTACCATTTCCGCGGATGCGTTCGGAAGTTGCACCTGGCCTCACGTGCTCGCGTCCCTGCACGTGCACTACGCGCCGCCCCCTCGCGTTTACACTTGACCCGTCTTTTCCAATTACGGTGTACTTGGTCTGTCTGGCACACCCTCACCCGCTGCATGCTAATTTACCCCAACTCGCGGTCACCCCGCCGGACCCCTGGCAATTGGAATGGCGCGAGATTGCAATTCAACTGCTCAGACCACTCCGAGTCGCCATCGCTTAGATGCCGCGTCGCACGACACATCAATTATCGCAGGTGTCAATTCCATCACTCTGTTGCAACCCCCACGATCGCGGCATGTTCGCCCGCGGCAAATGTTAAACACGCGATTGCGGCGTACCGCGAGGCATCGATAGAAAAATTGGGGCTTACCAGAACGCTGTCAAACTCCGCTTGTTCTTCACTCAATGCACCCCTTCCCACTCTCAATCCGGGAATCATTCTCATATCTCGGGCTCACATGACCCGTGGTTCTCCAGCTCCGCGGTGGTTAACCGCTGAGAGTCGGTTCAGGACCCGCGGGCGCCGCGTCGCATACACTCGCCATCTGCGGCCCTGTCCAGGCTCGGCGAGACGTTCCGTAGCCAAACGCTCATACGAAACTCTATTCAGCGTACATGCTGCTCTTTGAATCGCGGTCGTTCTTTCCGGAGGTGTCAATGAACTCTCGGTGACTGGCGTGGAGTGACGCCTCTCCGGGTGCGATGCCGAGGCTGTTATCGTACTCGCGTTCTGCTCGCTTAGCTACCGTTAACGTCATTCTTCTGCTCTACAGGTCTGAGACCGATGGAATACTTTGTTGTTCCATATTCTAGGTACAACAAAGCTCGCGTTCGCGGATCTCAGAGTTCTCCTTGTGCGGTCTGTCAGGACTCTCTAACTTCAGCATGAACTAGCCCTATGAAAAGACAGTGCACAGGATCGGTGCACGACGTCAAAGATGAAGTCAAAGGGTTCATTTCTTTTGACCTGACATAGAGCTGTGTGAACCGCTTTAGGCCATTCTGCGCGCCGAAGGGCGGGATTAGCGTTCGACTCATTTCAAGCGTGATGATCCAACGTTGTGCTCTTGTTTGTTGTCGCTGCTCTAATGAGATCCCTGTTGTCTCAACGCAATTAGCGGTGTTGTATGCGTCCTCCCCCATTGTGTCGACCCATACACACAGGCCTGAGTTCCCAGCAGAGGTCGTAGCCATGTTTAGGCGCTTGCCCGATGATTGCATGAGCGCTGCGGCAACAGCCGCATCGAACAAGAACTTGACTACTGACCGTTACCTCTGATTGCGCGCCGCCGCCGATGGCTGAGGCAGAGACCTCATATGTGCGCATAGACTCGCCTCCACCGAACAGCACGCCGCAGAGCGGACAAAACACGCCCGACCGTGGGCGGCCGAAGTACCCCGCATACCTGGTGCGCGATGGCGTGCAACGCAAGCCGTACCTCCACCGGCGCGGGACGAGCAAGACGCTCGAGTCGATGGCGGACGTGCTGCGGGAGGCGGGCTACAAGGAAACACGAGTGGTCACACCCATGCCAGCGGCCGGCTCAAGCAAAGAAGGCTCTGACCGCAGCCCGACCAGTCTGATCGGCTTCTTGTCCAATCTCGTCACGACAACGCGCTCGCTGGGCAGGTCATCTGGACAGCAAGTAAGCAAGGAGTGGGGACCCGTGCCGACGTTCAAGGTGTGTACAAAGCTGCTCACGTGATGTGGGGGGGCTCATGCCGAGTCGCGCCATAGATCGACTATGCACCTAGTTCGAGCACACGACCTACAGACCTACTCAAGCCGTCGCTCTCATCACCCCCGCTCTCGTCTGGTCCGCGCCGACCCGCCCATACCGCAGCAATTAAGAGTCTTCGTCACGTGGCATCCTCCCCAGCGCTGCGCGATTCTGCCCCACACTCGCGAAGGAAACGCGTCCACGGAACTGCTCGACCTGCCCCGCCCGTCCCACCGCTGAACACTGACTCCACTTGGCTTGCTTCATTAACTAAAGCCTTGGTGCTGCAGACTGCTCCAAACTCTCCACTAGGAAATCGCACCAACAGGTCTCGCTCTAATCCAGGCTCGTCCCAACCCCAGATTCGCATTCGAAGACCACGGCCCGCCAAGGGCACAGTCAGTCGCACCAATGTGACCTGCCGCAGCACCCCGGCCTCGCGTTCGTCATCTATCACGCGCCCAGGTAGAGGCTTTCCCATGCCCGAGCCGCCCGTCCTCAGCATGACTACAACCGAAAATGACCCCCTGTCGCGATACTCGGACTTCCTGCACATCGATTACGACGAGCCAGACTTGGATGGCGACGATGGTTTCATAGACGATCCGGACGATGAAGACGAGCACATGCCAGTCACGCTTGGCCATATCCTCGCCCCGCGTACGCTGGCCCGGCGCCAGCGCAGCATCGTCAGCCTGCGCCGCAATCTACAAAATATGACCCCTGCCGCCCATGAACGTGTCGCTACTTGGGGCACGACTCAGGTCGATGATGACGGCTTCCCCATCCTCAGTCCTACACAAGGGTCGGTCAGCCGTCGTCGCCAGCCCGTGCCCAGCTGGCGGCCCGAGGACGTCTAGAGTTTCTATCAGCTTTCTTTGTTATTTCTTGATCCATTAATATGTACAAACATATGCATCTCGTCTCCGCTCGTCGCATTCCACCCCTAAAGACTTTGATCCATCCCTGTCCTGTCGCATACTCACGCAAACAACAATATCCCGCTCCCTACTTCTCTACTTGCACACACATCATCTGCATTCGCCATAGCATCCCCTCTCTCCTCTCTCCTCTGTCCGCCCGTCGCTTCTAATCTGTTCAGCACCCACGCCCTTACGTCGACTCGTTCTATTACCTACCCCACCACCGTGCTCTCCATTGCGTTTTGCCACTCTCGCCGCCCCGTGCGTCGTCAACATGAACGATCCGCGTAGGCCCGGTAATACCTGTGTTTTCACAGCAAACAATGTCAATTCGAAACCATGTTTACGACTGTCGTGCTAGCGGAACGGAAGATGAGGGTAGGAGCACTGGCAGGGTCCAGCTGGAGCAAACGTCAGCCACAACTCGACAGTGGCCTTCTTACTTCACTGTACCGTGTTATTGTGGAGCAACTCGTGTGCCGCTCGCGCGGGCAGCTCCAAGCCCAGAAGCCAACCACGGGTGATACCGAAGTGGTACGAACCACCCAAACCAGTGCTTACGAACCCCATTAAAATGAGCAAAAGTGTATCTCTAGCCCTCTTCATCGATTATGTCTTTCATTACATCCCCCACTTGGGTGTGAATTAGTGCAGAGAAGCACTCATCCGGTGAGAGCCGCCGGCAAACTCCGAGCTCACAAGCGCAACAGAAAAAGAGTGGACTCACAGGGGATTGAACCCTGGACCTAATGCAATACATGTAGTGCAAAGCATTCGCGCTACCACTGCGCCATAAGCCCTCAATGCTCCCGGTGCCCAGCTCAACTTGCGAGCGCGGTGTTTAACTTACTCCTGTGGGAAACCTGCCTCCGCCTTCAGAGCTTCTTCTGGAGAAGCTTGTGCAAGCTGTTTTCGCGGATGGAAGAGCTTCGAAATTTTACTTCTGCTGTTACTCGACATTCAAGGCCTCGATAGATTCGGCTGCTTCGGTCTTTGATTGAGGTTGGGAAGCCCATAACATGCTCACGAACGGCATGGGCGCAGAGGTATCAGGTGAGAATATTGAATTAAACAAGGTGATGAGGGTATTATAGTCGTTCACGGAAGGAGAAATCATTGTCAAGTGATCCGGATCCTTGAAAAGTTAACGTGGTAGCTTCGGTGATGTGAGATTCAACAAGTACGTGGCAGTTTCGCTCACTCGCGAACCAGAATGTCTGCCATAGTGATGAGCACTGTGAGAGGTTCGATCTGTCTGCTCACCGTGCTCTAGATGAAGACGAATGTTGGAATTAACGCCAACGCCGTAGGATAGTTGTATTGCAATATACGTCGTCGCAATATCTCTGTGGCAACAGTGGAGTAAACTGTCCAATTACAAGCAAGCAATTCTGCAAAATGGCCATGCCATTGAACTTGGTTGCGACGCTTGATGCCCAACCTGGCGGTATGTTCGCGTTGCGCTTGCAGTACCCTGGCCCGGCGCGTACGGTTGTGCATCTGTATAGAAGTCTGTGAGCTCAGACTTCCTGAGGGTTGTCTTGGTCTGAAGATAACCAATGCAGATACGTCGTTCAGGATGAATGGCTGGGTGACATGGAAGAGTGTAAGAGTCAATGCAGCTCCTCAACATTTTGCCTCATAACATATGTCAGCTAGTTTTATAGCACCCTCGACGGCTCGAATAGATTGAAAAGAGTATTTTAAAAGGCTGTAAATCTTTACGATGCATTTACCGGGTTCCAATCGACAGCACCTTTGTCGCCGAGGTCAAGTGCATTCAGTTTGAACATGTCTTCCTCGTCCAAAGTGAAATCGTAGATGTCGGCATTGGAGATGATGCGGCTCTCCTTCTCCGACTTCGGGAGAACAACATGTCTGTAATATGCATGAGTATGCTTTCATTCTGCCAGGAGTCCAGGACCGAAACTTACCCCATCTGTAGAGACCAGCGAATGAGAACCTGAGCAGACTCTTTTCCGTGCTGTTGCAATTGGTGAACGAGAGCAGACAGGACGGGGAGAGAGTTTTGCGTACCTTCTTTGCGATCTCCACCAGTACTGGGTGGTCCATGAAGCCAGACCTGGCCTGAACCAGCGGGCTGTATGCTTGAACAACGATCCCGTTCTTCTTGCAGTATTCTACGATTGGCTTTTGTTGGCACCACGGGTGAAGCTGCTCGGCGCATGTCGTCAGTCTTTGCCACGACGTCTTACATTCGCAGAATACTTGCCTCGATCTGGTTGATCGAGGGAGTCTCCAGTCCAGCGCTCTTGATTTCCTCCAGGTGATGTACTCCATAGTTGGAGACGCCGATGTTGAGGAGCTTGCCTTCGTCACGCAGAGCGATGAGTGCTTTCCAGGTCGCAAGGCGTTTCTCTTTTCCAGCAAGGGGATCGTGTATCAGGAACAGATCAAGGTAGTCTACGAAGTGGGGCAAAGCACGGAAGCTCGTGAGCTACAACTGGACGAGAACGACAGATCACTCACTGAGCCCAAAGTTCTGCAGCGATTCGTTCACCCCTGCGATAGTCTTCTCATAGCCTTGGTTCCAGCTGACGACCTTGGATGCTGGCAAGCACATCAGCGAGTTCAAGCAGATGCCCCCGGATCAGAAGGATGCGCAAGCACTTACTGACGAAGATGTCCTTGCGGTCGACTCCAGACTTGGTGACCCCAAGACCCACTTAATCTTCGTTACGGTAGTATTGCGCGCTATCGATATGTCGGTATCCGGCCTTGAGCGCAGCGAGACACGCGCTGGCGCAATTATCGCGGTTTTGATACACACCGAGGCCGAGCAACGGGATTGTACGTCCTAACTCAAGGATCAATGATGAACTCGGTATGAGCACTGTACAGCGTCACGCGCACCAGAGAGCAGGCGGGCGGTAGACTGAAGATTGAGCTCAGACATAGCGAAACTGCTCTTGGGAACGAAGAGTGAGGAAGGGATGCAACCGTGAGCAATGGCTTTATGATGGCTGGGACAATTGAGTGAGGTGCCTGCTTTGTCAGCCACGACTCAGTTCAATCATTGGCAGCTTAAGGTTTGCGTGTTTGTAACTGGAGGCTCTGCTACTGAAGTACTCGACGCCAGGTCGCTCATGAGTAGCGTACTCCATCTGACGCTCTGTGCGGAATAGGTAGGTAGGCTTAGTCCTCGGCGCGAGAATAAGCGGATCAGAGCATGTAGATGCTGCTGAGCGAGAACATCAACCCGATGGTCGGTCGTAGTACAGTGCGATGCATAGACCCTTGGCCTGCCGCCATTTTTGCCGTACAGCTCACGCAGCAACTGACTGTCGATCATTTGATAGCCAGGCTTTGTGTCGTCGCCGAGGTACAAGATCGAACCATAGCCGATACCGAGGCCTGTGATAAACATTAAGTCGAATTTCAGTTCAAATCCTATATTCTTGTGATTCAGAACCGGTGTAACGATCTTTGACTCGAGATCACAATATCAACTCCATGCCAAGCAATATCGCCGCTCGGACCTCCAAGGATAATCTCAGCCGTTTGAGAAAATGAGCTGAGCGAACAACTGTCGACGGATGGATAAACTGTCAGCAATGACACTAGATTTCCGTGGCCACGCCGGCTAATGGGACTGTTGATACTGGTTGTAGCTCTGGTGCTGGCCATGACTCTGATGTTGCTCGTAGCCCTGCTGCGGAGTGTAGGGAGTAGGTTGGTTGTAGGTTGGCTGCTGAGTGTCGGTCGGTTGCTGTCCGTAACTCTGGTGAAGACCATGGCTCTGGGGTTGATTATAGCCCTGAGGCTGATAACCCTGGTTCTGGCTGTAGCCCGGAGGCTCGTCATAGTTCTGAGACTTCTGGTATCCCTGAGGCGGCTCGTAATTCTGAGAGTTGTTGTAGCCCTGAGCTTGCTCGTGGCTCTGAGGCATATTGTAGCTCTGAGGTTGATTGTAGCTCTGGGGCTGGTTGTAGCCCTGAGATGTGTCATAGTTCTGGCGCTGCTCATGGCTTTGCTGCGGGTTGTAAGGCGGTTGCTGATTGTACGTCGGCTGAGCGTGTACCGGCTGCTGGCTGTGGTCATGAGTTTGACTGGAACTCTGAGACTGATCGTAGCTTTGAGATTGATTGTAGCCCTGGAATTGCTCGTGGCTCGGTGTTTGGTTGTAGGTCGGACCTGGCTGATTGGAGCGGGCATCATCTGTGGCTACCGGCGGTCCCCCACCAACCTGTGCTCCCTTCACCGCACCCACACTCACACCTTCGTTTCCAATGTCGTCGGGAACTGTGATGCGGACGCTAGGCAGGTACTTTTGCACCTTGAGCTCCACCATATTTTGCACAAAGACCCAACTCTCGCGCTCGAGCTTGCGGTGACCGCCATTCACAACGGAAAGAATGCTCTCGCGCAGCATCTCTTGCACCTTGCGAACCAGCTTCCGAATCTTGTCCACGAGCTTGACCTTGATGTCGTCGCCGAAGCCACGGGACACCGTTTGAGAAGCAGCGCTACGGTCCAGCTCGGCATCGAAGGGGTTCCCACCAAGGATTCGCTCGAGCGGGCCCTGCACCTCGTCCGGCAGTAGTTCAAAGAGCTGCTTCTCGATGGCACCGAGTATGGTGCGGAACTCGAGCCGCACCTCGCGGTGAACCTTCGCAAGTCCTGTACTCAGCTTGTCGCTGACAAGTCTAGAGATGCCACCGCCTTCTCCTTCTGCCCGGCTCGTTCCTTCTCCTAGCCCCCGCGCCTGTGGGCCATCGCCACTGCTCCCCTGCTCGTCACGCTTTCCACCAAACAGGCCTTTCATGCCCTGAACAAGTCCCTTGATCTCGTCCTTGACGTCGGATGAGACGCCCGCCCCAACCTCGCGTGCGCTCGTGTTACCACGCAGCCAGCGTTTGATCTTGTCGAGCGCAATGCGAGTGAACTGCTCCGCAATGGGCGCGTGCTGGTCCTTTAGTCGTGATGCTACTTTGTCGCGAATCTCTGGTACGATTGCACGCGCCTTCTCCTCCGGGTTACGCGCTGCCTCCTTGACCGTCTGGCTGAGTACACCGAGGAGTCCGTCGAGCGGCACGTGGATCCCTGACCGCTACTGCCCTTGTCCAGCTGCTCCTGAACAACGCCGAGGGCCGCGGTGAGGAAACCTCGCGCGCCAGAGGAGTGCTGGGCTTCTCCCGGATTGCCGCGACTTTGTTGTTGACCTTGTTCGGTCAGGTCGAAGATGTCACGCAGGTCGCCTCCCGCATCATCAGCGATCTTGGAGAAGCCACGTGTGAGGCTCGCAAGCTCGTTGGCAAACGGCAGCGACTGGCCGCCGTACGAATCTGGAGCGTTGGCGTCCAGCGATCGAGAGCCTGATGGAGTGTCCTTGTCGAAGAGCGACCGGAAGGCGGAGACGATCTGGTCTTCAAGGCTATCAATGGTACGTTTCTGAAAGATCTCGAGCTCAGAGGCGATGCGTGGCTGGATCTGCGGCGCAAGCGAGTCTACATATTTATCGATCTGCACCATCACCACATCCGGGATGCCATGACGGCTCTTGCCGAGGTCATCAGAGGACATGCTTTATGGTCGTCAATGGGAAAGGCTATGAGGTACAGCCGCGCTGAGGGCGAGGCAGGCCGTGGACGCTCGTCCCGATTTGGACCGGGAAACGCCACCAGTTAACCTGGGTGATGATGTCAAGGCCAATGCGAGATGAACGCTGTTGATTTCGCATGTATTGCGAGTCGAATGCTTCTCAACTTAATGGTCATGGTCAATTGCGGAGAGCGAAGAAGTCATGACAAGTACCTAGGACTCTACCATTCGTTGGAGT